TGAGGTGGATTGATTCAGTGACTGGGGTACTTGGGATGGGTTTGTCAGAGGCAATGAGATTGGCACAGGATAGAGCATGATTTAGGGCTGTTGTGCATAGGGTCGCTATGAGTCGCAAATGACTTGACGGCACATAACAACAACAACACATTACTATAGATGGAGAAAAGATTGAAACTGTTAATAATTTCATCTTGCTTGGTTCAACAATCACCACCCTTCATATTAGCAGTCATGAAATCAGGAGATGTATTACATTGGGCAAGCCTGCTGTCAGGAACCTCTTCAAAATATTGAAGAGCAGTGATGTCAGTTCAAAGACTAAGGTGCACCTGATTCAGGCCATGGTCTTCTTAACCACCTGCTACGTACATATGAGAGAGCTGGACAATGAATAAGGATAATAGAAGAGTTGATTCCTTTGAGTTGTGGTTCTGGAGAAGAGTACAGAATGCCCCATGGACTGCCAAAAGAACAAACAGATATGTACTTGAAAGGATGTGTCCAAAGTTCTCCTTGGAAGCAAGGATGACAAAGCTGCTGCTTTTATGCTTTGGACATGCCACTAGGCAAGGCTGTTTCTTAAAAGAGACATCATATTTGGAAAGATAGAGAGTTAGAGAAGGAGAGGAAGACCCCTAACGAGTTGGGTTGACATTGTAACTTTGGGGCTCTAGTGTCTCAGAGATGGTGAGGATGGCCCAGGATAGGGCAGCTTTCAGGATGGCTGTTCATAGGGTCATCATGATTCATAACTGACTCAACAGAACCTAACAGCCACCACCACCTGCTTCTGAAAGGTGACAGCCTTGAAAACCTAACAGAACAGTTGTACTACATGTAGGGTCACCGTGGGATTTCTCTTTGTACAGATTCTAATTTCCATTGTTTTTCTTTCTCTTCCTGCCAAACAATGTAGGCAATGCTGTACGGGACGGAAGATAACAGTACAGCAGTAGTAGTGCCTTTTGGTGCCTGGGGAAAATACAAGAACTCCGAAATCCACTTCTCGTTCAGCAGAAGCTTTGCCTCCAGTGGACGATGGGCCTGACCATTTGCTGGGACTGGAATTTTCTGTGCACTAGTTTGTTCACTGAGCATGGTGTGACCCTGTTTGACTGAATCCGTGTACAAGTGTAACCTAGTAACCACTAGCATAGTAGTGTTTCCTAAATGCCTTTATATGTGTTAAGCTTAATGTGCTCAATATAAGACACTTGTAATTAAGCTGTTCTGAGTCTTCAAGTTGAGCGAATAATGGTTTTCATGAGCAAATAAGAAATGGTTTTTGTAAACTCAATAAGAATGTTAACTTTCTAATGTTTCATGACTGCTAGGCAGCTATGGGCTCCTTTTTGTCATTTTTGCTTTCTATTCATTTGAACAGGTTCTTGTTTTCAAGTTCCTGAAAACTGGTCTATATTTGGACAAGTTACTCATTGCCTTATCTGCAAGTGTTCATTTTCACCATCAGTACCAAGGCATACATGTGAAAACTGAGGTCTCTTTTACCATAGTTGTTGATGTGATAGAACACTTACTGGTAAATGTAAAAATTCAAAGAAGATCAATCTAGATACTAGGACATTGCTAAATGATGTGCCTGTTTATGAACAGTGTGATTGGGTATTTCAGCTATATCACCAAGGCCTTTCTATCATCCATTCCTATTTTTCTACAGGTAAGAATGCTACATAGATGTGACTGTTTCTTAATCTCCAAAAAAAAAAAAAAAAACAGGCATAGGTTAAGAGTCCTTTGGTCAAAAACTGGTAGTATTGAGTATTTTGTGTAAAGTTTTCATTTATTGACTTGATGGTTTGTGTTTTGTATGCGCTATGTATCTATCGTTTCATGTGTACAATAAGCAACTTAGATACCCTGTTAGCAAAAATACTTCCACAGTCAATGATACTGCTTCAGACATAACTTGATTTATACATTCTTTTCACTCGTTCCTAAGATTTGTGGGAAATAATACATACAAACATTAAAATATTCTTTAGGTATTTGTTTGCTATGTAATTTAGCAGTGTAAAATTCTACTTCTTTTTCTCTGCATGTTTTTGTTGTTAAAATGTGAATTTATAATGTATATTTGGCATTTTATCTGCACTTTAAGTCTGCATAGTGTACACCGTTATTAATGTGGTTATTTGTATATATGTGTATTTTGGAGTAATGTAACTTTGAAGGGAACAATCCTGCATAGCTTCTTCACTAGTTAGCTTTAAATATTTGATATGGGAAGTGGAGGGCAGTTTTCCTTAGTGTAGAACCAATGGTTATTGACAGATGAGGACACAGACCAAAACACCAACAATGTAAAAATGCTTTATGGTTGGTAATGCACCTGGAAAATTCAAGAATGTAGCATGTGGAAGCCACATTGCTAATTCTTTTTTTTTTTTCCCACCACTAAGCCAGTGAAATAGTAGACCATCTGAGGTTCAAACTCACAACCTTGATATTATCCACATCATACACATTGCTAATTCTTAAGTTGCATATAGAATATAAAGTGTGAAAAACATTGAGTATTAAGAATGGCAGGGAGTTTCACTGTAAAAATAGAAGAAAAAATTGAATGCTATAAATCATCAACTCTCTTTCCTTTAAGCTGTATTTAAAGGCTTATTAGGAAGAAAAGGGCCCATTATAAATAAGCACCTCTTCTCACCATCTTGGGAGTAAAAGAAGACAAAATTTAAGTTTTCTTGTCTATACTAATCAGGGATTGTCCTTTTTAAAAAAGAAAAGCGCTAAGTAGATGGGGAGTGTTTTCCCCCCCCAATCAAGTTAGATGAAAGAAGGGGAAAAAAATTACGAGGAAGAATGTAACTTTCTACTCATAGTTTAAAAGCACCTTGATTGTATTGTATGTTCTGTGTTGGACAAACCAAAAGTTTGGTGGTTCGAATCTATCAGCCACTCTATAGGAAAAAGGTAATCTCCTGCCATAAAGATTTGGAGCCTTGGAAACCCAATGGGCATAGCTATGAATTTGAATCAACTAGTTGGCAGCCGGCTTAGGTAAGAAGCTTTGCTACAATCCTAAAGCACACCTTTCAAATCCACCAGGTGCTCTGCAGGAGAAAGACGGGCAATCTCCCTTTATACAATTTACTGCCTCTGAAAACCCACTGGAGGTACAGCTATGGGTTGGATCTGACTCCAAAGACACAACAACAACAATTCAGAAGTAAGTTTAGTTGGCTTGGGTTTTTTTCCCAAGGTTGGTTGGCTTGGGGTTTTTAAGGAGCCCTGGTGACACAGTAATTAAGTGCTTAGTGTTCAACAGAAAGTGTGGCACTTTGAACCCATCAGGTAGCTATGCTCCCGCTTCTATAAAAATGACAGCTGTTGGAACTCTCTGGGGAAGTTCTGTGAGTTAAGATCAACCAAATGGCAGTGGTTTGGAGTTTTAAAAAAATTCCTCTTACTTTATTTTTCAAACCTAAAATAGGGTAAATTGATGTCTTTGTGCTGTGGTGCTGGAGAAGAGTATTGAGGGTACCATGGACTGCTAGGAAAACAAACAGATCCATCCTGGAAAGGGTTAAACCGGGCAGCTCCTTGGAGGCAAGGATTCTGAGGCTCTGTCCAACATACTTTGGACATGTTGTAAGGAGAGACAGGTCCTTGGAGAGGGACATCGTGCTTGGGAGGGTGGAGGGACAGTGCAGGAGAGGAAGGCCCTCTGTGAGGTGGATTGATTCAGTGACTGGGGTAATTGGGATGGGTGTGTCAGAGACAGTGCGATGGACACAGGACAGAGCAGAGTTTATGGCTGTTGTACATAGGGTCGCTATGAGTCGCAAGCAACATAACAACAAGAAAGTAGGGAGTAATATCAAATTCAAAAGCCTAAAGTCATTGAGGGAGCTCTGTTGGCATAGTCTGAAGCAGGCTACACGCTGCAGTACTTACTTAAAGACTGACCATTTCTCAAGGTTTCCATAGCTGACCCTCCAGGAGGTTTTCAGAGACAATTAACCGCACGGGAAGAGATAGCACCTCTTTCTTTTGCAGAGCAACTGGTGGATTTGAACTACGTGCCTTCGGGTTGGTAGCATAGCTCCTTATCCTTAGGCCACCAGAGCTCCCTCTGTTGCCTTTTATGAGCTTGGTAACCCATGAGAGCATCACTATGAATCAGAAAGGACTCAAGTGCGAGAGGGTGAATTTGGAGGTTCATTGGTGGGCTGAGGTGGATTGTTGGATGTGGCAAAGATTTCAGGAAACTTTTTAAAATCCTGAACCAGCCAGTTTTGGCTAAAGGAGGAAACAAATTGGTTTATATGTTTTACAAGCCACATTGTTGCAGTATAACTTACAATTAGATTGTTATAAGCCACAAAAGATAAACATACTTGTGGCCTAGTGGTAAGAAGATGCTCTGCAATCCTGAAGGTACATTGTTCAAACCTCCAGGTGCTCCACAGGGAATGGATGGGCCATCTCCTCCTAGGTGATTCACTGCCACTGAAAACTTGCTAGAGGGTCAGCTATGGGCTGGTTCCGACGCAAGGACACACAATAAGAATGTTAAGCATCTATTACTGGAAATTATGCATATAGTGGTATTATTCTAAATATAGTTTTCTTAGTTTTAACTGTGAATTTGCCACTTGATTATTGCCATGTAGGCATGCATATGGCATAAATTATATTAATGTAATAAAATGTAAGTGTATTTATGTTTGCCTTTATGTTTAAGTGTATGCTTCATCTTTCTAATATGTGATGCCACATTATTTGCCAGAATATATGTGGCACTAGAATATCTTTAAAAGCATTGTGATTTTCACAAGTATATGAGTCCTTAAGTAATTTAGATATTTTAAATATGGCCTTGGTGCAGACCTTTCTTTCTAATGGTCTTCAAAATCAATTGACCTTGTGCACTTTCTGGAAAAAAAACTGTTGTGGCGGGATCAGTGTTACTTCTTTTTATTCTATGATGTAAATTTTTCCTGAATTCTAACAGATTTGGGTTTTTTAAAAATAGCTTATTTTGAAGAATGTATTAGCACATAATTTAAAAAGCAAATTATTTTTCTAAATATATTGCCTATTTGAGGTGATTTTTTTTTCTTTTATAGAATCATGATACAGAATGAAGATGCCTTGGCTAAGTTATATACTGTTTATTTCCATATTAGAATATCTAGTTTTCTTTCTTAGAATAGGTATGGGCTGAATTTCATGGAATGTTGACAGTTAAAAAAATAACAAAATAACCTTGGGTTTGAGAAGGGGAACAGGATGTGAATGTTTAACATCGAACAGTTAAATGCCAATGCATATTTGTCTTTTTTTTTTTTAACTTCTCAGTGGTTCTCATACTGTTGTCTGTAAAAAAAAAAAACAAACAAACAAACAAAAAAACACCACAAAACAAAACAAAAACACAGCATGCAATTTTGATTGGGTTCCTTTTTACCGTAATTATTAGTTTCACTTATTTGGGATGTTGTAAGCAGAAATAAAACAGGATGCTTTACAAAGAGAAAAAAAAACACACCAAATTGTGATGACCTGGCTGTTGCCTTTGGCACCTGGCATGAAACTCTCTGGAAGCCCCTGCTGGGTGTCAGATGATTGAAATGGTCCACTGGTGGTCATCCAGAATGTTCTGGGCTGTGTAGTAAAAATTCTCCTTGCAGCTGTCTGACACTGAATTCTAGTACAGCTCATAGCAGCTGGGTATGTCACAAATGACATGTCATTTCTACTGAAGTGCTTTGTGTGTATTTGTTTTATAATTTACCAAAGCACTACTTGAGTGTATGGTGCTTCCTATAGTAAATTGATATAATTGCTGTTTTGGCCATTCAGTTTTTAAATGTATGTTTTAGAGTAATGGTGAGGCTATAATCACGTATGTGAGTGTTCAAAATGCTGTTTTAATAAAGTACATGCATTAATCATTTGTTTCTTTGTTTTATACAACTCTGTTTAAGTTTAGGACTTCCCATTATTTTGTGCATGACCCTGTGAACACTGACATAGAAGAGTAAAATAATAGTTGGAAATTCTTTGACTACT